TTCAGAATGAGTACCCAGCAAGCTCAGCTTCGGCTTGCAGTGTAGCCAGCTCAGGGCCCCAGGCAAGGTCCCCATTAGCAATTAGCTCTTCTAGGAAAAGGACTTTAAGGGAACTTGTGATGATGTAGTTTGTGTACAAAACGGTTTCATCCAGAAACTTACATGAATCTTTATAGTAGCAAAGCAGAGGTGACATTAATTTTGAATTAATGAGAAAAGTAATAAATAACACTGAGGTTTAAAAAAAAAAAAAACTCATTATGCCACCCAGTACGTGCCTGCTGGATTACAGACTTGTTAAATGTGAAAAACAAAACTTAAGGGTTAAAAATATGGGATATAGAAGTGCATTTCTGGTGTTTTGTTTTGTTTTGTTTTGTTTTGTTTTGTTTTGTGGAACGGGAGATTGAGCTCAGGACCTTGTGCTTGCCAGGCAAGGACTTATTCTACTGAGCTATCTCCCCGGCCCCTAGAAGTGCATTTCTGACCTTTGTGTAAGGGATACTTCTTAAAACAAGGCCCAAACAGCACAGATCCTAACAAGAGTGATAAACTTGGATACTTTAAAATGTAGAACCTGACTCAAGAGTCTAAGTGCAATCTATTTCAGCAGTCTTAAGTGCCTGCTTGGCAAGCACAAAGATCCAAGTTCGGTCCCCAGCACCACATGCTTCACTGCCCTGGAATCCTGGGTGTGGCGTGCCGGCCCTGAAACCAGGCATGGTGGCTCACACCTGTAATCCCAGTGCTGGGGAGGCTGAGACAGGATCACTGAGTCTGAGCTGTGTATTGAGACCCTGTACCAAATAAATAAAAGATTTTTTTAAAAAGGCATCTTTTAAAAAATGTAGAAACAACCCCCCAAGGGACCAGTGAGCTAGCTCCGCAGTCTAAAGCACCTACTTAGGCAGGCTTAGGCAGCACAGGGAGGAAGGTTTTGATTCTGGCACACACCACACAAGCCATACCCCCAGGGTGGGGTGAGCTGGCCACCAAAAAAAGACCCCCCCCCATGTCCCAGATAGAGAAAGTATAAAAAATTAGACTAAATTTGTGAGTAGGCATTTCACACATGAAGGAGGCAGGCAGGGAACAGTAAACTTAAAAAACTTTTAAAAAATTTATCAGGTGCAAATTAAAATACTGTTTGTATCACAACTAATGGATGAAAATGTTACATTATTAGCATACAGAGCAGTAGAAATTGATACTGTAGATATGGAAACTCAAAATTCATGTTTTTAAATGTTCTAGATTATCAAATCACTAAAGGAGCAGAGAAGCATCTGCCCCTAAAATTGCATTCTCTATTCAGCCTTAACTTGTCCTATAACAGGTTCTGCTTTATCCTTCATACTGAACGTCATCTGAGTCTATGTCACTTCTGCTATTGATATAGGGGAAAATATGAAACTTCCAACCTGAAAGGTACCAGGGACAAGTTCGTGTTCTCTAAAACCAAACAAGGAATTTTAGGAACAAACGGAGGTTATGAGGAGAGTATATTTATTGGGGGATAGAAAGTCCCTGTCCAAGAGAGAGACAGGAAGGAGGCCCTCGAGCGGGTGATCCCTTGGAAGCTGTCTCTTCCAGGGACTTTTATAGAATAAAACCATGCTGTGAGGTGAGTCTAAGGTGGTGAAGAACATGGGAACTCACCTAGGTGAGCATGTGGTGGTGGGACAAAGCTATGGTCAACCAAGGAGAGTAAAGGCACCATTGCTCAGGTAAAGTTGATTAAATCCAGTACCAAATGAGGAAGCAAGTCACATAGCAAACCGGCATGAATATGGGACAGGGTCTCTTCCTGTTAGGGATTGGGTTAGTGATTCATTTGGACTCTTTCAAGGTGATTGATACCCATTTAGAATATCAATCTCTGATGCCCATCTCTATGGAAGTATGTAGCTGTGTTTCCTCTTTTGTCTTGAGGTCTGGCCCATAAGGGAGTGTCTGTCTCTTCCAAGTTGCAAAGTCACCTTGTCTTCCATATTGTCTCCTTGAGGGCCTGGCCCTGTCTGACTGCCTATAATTTCTAATTCAGCTGTCTACAACACTATCACATCATCTGGTTGTTTCTTCTCCATTTGCATGTCTCTTTTGTCCCTGTTGCTAGCTCTTCAGTGATCTTAAATTTATCATAGACCTGGAAATACAATACATAGTTCATTGGAGTTTTGTATGTGACAAATAATCCCAAAATAGGATTTACAAGACGCTCTCACAAGTTGATGAGGGGTGGGGCACAGACACTCTCATCATATATGTTTTGTTATCTCAGAGGCCTTTTAAATTTTCCCTGAGTCTGGGCTCTTTTTCTCCTCTTAGGTAAAATTACTAGATATGTTAGCTGTTAATGACCTTGTATTTTTTTTTCCATAATTTTATTGAGAAACAAATAGCAATGAGACAGTTTCAAACCAAATTGGTAGGGCAGTTTCAATAATTAACACATTGCATACATTCTTCTTAGTGGTTAGTTGCTGTACAAGATGCGGACTTAATATCCTATTTACAAACACCATTAGAACAAATCGCTCTATTCGTTAAGAGAATGTAACTATATCTGTCCTAACCACTTTGAATATACATATACAAAATGGACATTCATCTGTATCCCCTTTTTTTGTTAAGTTCCATCATTTAAATATTATAGGTGTGTAAAATGACCTTGTATTTAGTCAATACATTTAACTTGACAGCATTTATACATAAATTCTGTATGTCAGGGCCTCCTAGTGGTGTATTCTAAACCTAATTGTAAAAATAAAAGATGGAATAAAAAGATTGAGAGTTGGGAGCAAGTGTGTAACTCAGTGTGTGCCTAGCACATATGAAATCCTGCACTAGGCTTCATGAAAAAAGGATGAAATTTGAAGCTTGGTTTAAAATTAGTATAAGAATGTGTAAGATCCAGTCCTAGCCCAGGCCCAGTGAGTGTGTGGGTGAGCTTCCAGCTACCCTGTGCTGGCGGGACCTGCTGCCCCAGCCCAGGCGCAGAGTGGGTGAGACCCTCTTCCACCTCCTTGGGATGCCCCCCACTACTCCGCAGCACGTCCCCCACCCCACACCGAGTAGGAATTTCTGCTGCGTTCTGGGAACTCCCAGATCCAGTCCTAGCCCAGGCCTGGTGAATGTGTGGGAGAACTTCCTGCTACCCTTGCCGGCGGGACCTACTGGTCCCAGCCCAGGCGCAGCATGGGTGAGACCCTCTTCTACCCCCTTGGGACGCCCACTACCACTCCGTAGCACACCCCGCCCACCGAGTAGGAATTTCTGCCGCGTTCCGGGAACCCCCAGATCCAGTCCTAGCTCAGACCCAGTGAATGTGTGGGAGAGCTGCTTCTCCCCCTTACTCCACCTTGTCCCCTCCAGACTCAGCTCAGGCCTGTCATACAGGCCTGAGGTGTGAAACCCTGCAGCTGCAATCCCTGCAGAGAGTGTAGGGGACAGAACCACCCAGCTAGTCCAGGAGCAGAACATCTTGCCAGAGGGGCACAACAGGTTCACTGGCAAGGGCAGCAGCAGGAAGGAGTTGAGCACAGCAGCCAGATCCAAGCCAGGCACAGCTGGATAAATCCAAACTTTGTAGATCTGCACCTGAACTTCAGTAGGTGCTAAGGTTATAACTGCACGAAAGCTCTACAACAAAGGTCAGAAGACAGTGCTACACAAAATGACAACGAGAAGGAGCAAAATGTAATCTCAGAACCCAAGCCCACCCATAATAAGTGCAGAGGACACTAACACAGAACAAATTGGGAATCACACAGCTGAAATCAGTGAATCAACAGCTTCTGAAATAAACAGCTGCAGAAAGGTATAGAGGACCTCAGATTGGAAATGAAATAAGAAATCCCTGAATTAATAACATCTGTAGTAAAGAATCAAATGCAGAAACATGGAGGAAACCCAATGCCCACCAAGAATGTGTTTGTACAAGTATTTGGATAATTGTAAATTATATTTCATTGACTTTTGAAACTTTAAGATTGTTGTTTCTTTTCTTCCTCCTTTCTCTTTTCTTTTTTTTTTTTTTTTTTTGCGGAACTGGGGATTGAACTCAAACCCTTGCGCTTGCCAGGGAAGTCTTTTGGTCTTTGTGAGAGAGGGTTTCACAGGCTAGTCTTAAACTTACTTGTAAGGGGCCGGGAAGATGGCTCAGTAGAGTAAGCACTTCCCCAGCAAGTGCAAGGGTCTGAGTTCAATTCCCGGTTCCACAAAAAAAAAAAAAAAAAAATTAAACTTACTTGTGGCCTGTAATCCTCCTGCCTCAGTCTCCCAAATGCTGGGATTAAAGGTGTGCACTGCCATACATAGTAGATTATTTTTAAAATACAGCTTTATTGAGGTAAAATTTCTATACTATGTGGTATACTCATTTAGAATGCACAGTGCAGTAGCTTTTAGTAGTACATTTACCTGTTTATATGTCCATCACAATCTTAGAATGTTTTCATTATCCCTAAGAGAAATCCTGAATTCCCCATTCCCTGTAGTCTTCTACCTTTATAGATGTGCTTGTTCCAAAATTATAGCATATAATAATAGCACTTCATTTCTTTATTGCTGTATACTATTTCATTGATTATCCATTTAATATATGGTAGATATGAGTAGTTTCTACTTTTTGACTTTTAGGAATAATGTTGCTGTGAACATTGTAAACGGATTTCCATTTCCCTTAAATATATACCTGAGTAGAATTAATGGGGTAATTTTGTTTTAACTTTTTGAGAAAACTGCCAAATTGTTTTCAGTAGCAGCTGCAGCCTTTCATATTCCCAGCAGCATATAAGACAGGCTCTCCATGTCTTTGCAATATTTATCAGTCTTTTTTAATAGCTGTACTAGTAAAGTGATATTGTATGGTTATTTTATGCTTTTATTAAGGCATGCTTCCAAATGCTTAACCCTAGATTTTCTTTTAGTAAGAAACAAACGTTACCTTTAAATTTGTAATAAATTTGTTTAATTGTTGTTTTTGTTTTTCTAACAGGCTAAGGAAATTTTAACAAAAGAATCAAATGTACAAGAGGTTCGTTGTCCTGTGACTGTCTGTGGAGATGTACATGGCCAATTCCATGACCTTATGGAGCTCTTTAGAATTGGTGGAAAATCACCAGATACAAACTATCTATTCATGGGTGACTATGTAGACAGAGGTTATTATTCTGTGGAGACTGTGACTCTTCTCGTATCATTAAAGGTATGATTAATGAAATTCATGTTTTTTGTTTTTTGTGGTTTGTTTTTTTTTTTTCAGACTTTGAACTAGACAAAAGTTAAGAATGATAGTATTGGGCTGATGAGATGGCTCAATGGTCTAAAGCACCTACTTAGAACAAGCTTAGTCAAAGCACAGGGACCGCGGTTCGATCCCCCAGCACCACATGCCTGCCAGCCCCGCCCTCTGGTGGGCTGAGCTGGCCACACACACACACACACACACACACACAAATAAATAAATAAATAAATAAAATTTAAAAAAAAAAGTGATAGTATTGGGGCTGGGGAGATAGCTTAGTGGAATAAGCGCTTCCCTGCAAGCGTAAGGGCCTGAGTTCAATCCTCTGTTCAGCAAAAAAAAAAAAGAATGATAGTATTACATGTCATGTGCCCATTCAATTCATAGCTCCTTAATTAATAGCTGCCTTTATATCTTTTAAAAAGAGATAGAAGAAAATTATGCCTTAAGTTTCTACTTCTGGTAAGTATATTATTCTTTCAGGTTGTCTGTAACTAAAGTTTGAGAATTTTTGACTTATTCTTCATAGTAAGTCTAGAAGTCTTAACTTTTTGTTTTGAAAAGCATTCCTGCTTTTCTATTTTTTTAAAATTTTATTTATTTGTGTGTGTGTGTGTGTGTGGCTAGCTTAGCCCACCAGGGGGTGGGGCAGACTGGCATGTGGTGCTGGGGGATTGAACCACAGTCCCTGTGCTTTTGCGAAGCTTGTTCTAAGTAGGTGCTTTAGACCACTGAGCCATCTCACCAGCCCTTCTATTTTTATTGTCCTACACAATTTATCACTTCACACGTTACTGCAATAACTTGGTAACTTGTATTTCTGCATCTTGAGATTTGATCTTTTAAATTACCTTGAATGTGCAGTTAGATGAAATCTCTTAATCAACACTTACTAGCACTTTTTTATTACCCTGCTTCCAAATTCTTTGGTGAATCTATGTTCCCTGTGGAATCAAATTTAAACTCCTTGCTGCTCTATCATCTAACCTGAATTTACATACCAGAAGTTGGTAACAAACTCTGTACCTCAGGTCAGATAGGTTTTTTTATTCAATGTTTTTTATTTTTTTATTTTTTGGCGGAACTGGGGATTGAACATGGGCCCTTGCACTTGCCAGGCAAACGCTTATTCTACTGAGCTATCTCCCTAGCCCCTAATCAGTGTTTTTTAAACTTCATTTATTTCCTTATCTAATTTCCATACAAGATTACTGTCATTACTTTCTTATCCCTTCTCCATAGGCTAGCTGTCTCTTTTCTTCTGTGAAGAATTCATATTTTCGCCATACTCCTTTTACCACAAAATTACTATAAAGAAGCTGAGCAGGATGGGGCACACCTGTAATATTAACACTCTGGGAAACTGAGGCAAGAGAATTATAAGTTTGAACTCAAAGTGAGCAACTTACTGAAACTGCCTCAAAATAAAAAGAGTCACAGATGAAGTTCAGTGCAAAGACCCAGAGTCAATCCTCAGTACCTAAAAAAAAGAGATTACTGTGTTGAAACTTCTCACATGTCCCTTATGTATGCATGTTATCCTACTGACTTATTACCTTATATTGTCACATTTCTGCTGAATGAAATAAATCTCTAAACAGTAGAGATCATATTCTTGTGTGGACCCAGCATTATCTTTGTAGCATGGTTTAGTGTCATGCATGTAAAGGGTGTTTAGCAAAAAGACATAATCAAAATATGCATTTGTAACTTTTTTTTTTTTAAATATGGCCAGTCTTTTTTTTTTTATTTTAACATTTATTTATTTTGTGTGTGTGTGTGTGTGTGTGTGTGTGTGGCCAGCTCAGCCCACCAGGGGGCGGGGCTGGCTGGCATGTGGTGCTGGGGATTGAACCGTGGTCCCTGTGCTTTGCTAAGCTTGTTCCAAGTAGGTGCTTTAGACCACTGAGCCATCTCACCAGCCCTGTAACTTCTTGATTAATTTATAGAATCTGTTGGGGTTTTTTCTTCTCAGGGAACACATACCTAACTACAAGTTGAGTATCTTTTTTTTTTTTTTTTTTTTTTTTTTTTTTTTTTTTTTTGGTACAGGGTCTCACTACACAGCTTGGACTCATAGTGATACTCCTGTTTTCAGCCTCCCCAGCGCTGGGATGACAGGTGTGCGCCACCATACCTGGACTCAGTCTGGCTCAGCTTGGGACCCTGCTTGCCTAAGCAGGCATTTAGTCTGCTAATCAATCTCACTGACCCTCCCTTTATTTTTTTGAGACAGGATCTTGCTGTGTAATTCAAGCTCGCCTTGAACTCACTATATTGTGCAGGCTGGCCTTGAACTCTTGGCAGTCCTCCTGCCTCAAACTCCCAAATGACTGGGATTATAGGTATACACCACCCTTCCTGCCTTGAGTATCCCTTACTTGAAATGCTTTGGCAGATTGTTGGGATTTTGGATTTTAGAATATTTGCATATATTTATACATGAACTATCTTGGGAATGGGACCCAAGTCTAAACACAGACTTCATTTGTTTCATATACACCTTATATAGGTAGTCTAAAGGTAATTTTATACAATTTTTTAATAATATAGTTCAGAATTTTATTTTATTTTTTTTTCTTTTTTTTGCGGAACCAGGGATTGAACTCAGGCCCTTGCGCCTGCCAGGGAATCACTTATTCCACTGAGCCATCTCCCTGGCCCCATAGTTCAGAAATTTTAACAGAATTTCTTGGTGTGGAATTTTCCATTTTTGGTATCATGTCACCACTTTAAAAATTTTTAGACCAGAGGATATAGCTAAGCTGTACAGTGCACAAGACCCTGGGTTCCATTTCTAGTACCACTAAAGGGGAAAAAGGTTCCATTTTGGATTAAAATTGATCAAACTATGGTATGCCACATTGTATGGTTTTCTGTTTTCGCGTAGAAAAGAAACTGTTCATACATTTGAAATTTTGCTCAGATTTGGCTGGGTCCAAAACTCAGTCTTCTGTGGGAAAAAGAGTTGTAAAAGTAAGAAATTAATTTATAAAGGAGCTTATTTTAGGTTGAAACGTCTTTCCAGTATCCGTTCAGCATTAAGAGGTCAGTGTGTTCTTGAAAGATTTAGAAGACTAGTAGTAGTTCAATGAAGAAAAAGATGATCGATACAAAGAATCAGCTCCAAGTTTATTATAGTAACATAGGTAAGTGTCAACTAGAGGTTCTGATAAGGGAGATATAAACATACTAAAGAAAGATGACCATAAAAAAATTTCAAAGGTTAATCAATAGGCCCTGGTTATTAATGAGAAAGTTTTTTTCCTCTAGAAACCAAAAAAAAGCCATTCAATATTTTAGAAGACAAAGAGCCATTTAAAGGAGGGTCAGAGTTAATGTTCTTAACATCATACAGTGAGAATATGATTGAACTGTGGGTTTCTCTTCCTTTTCTTCCAGGTGCGTTATCCAGAACGCATTACCATACTGAGAGGAAATCATGAAAGCCGACAAATTACCCAAGTATACGGTTTTTATGATGAATGTCTACGAAAATACGGAAATGCCAATGTTTGGAAATATTTTACAGATCTCTTTGATTATCTTCCACTTACAGCTTTAGTAGATGGACAGGTATCTATGTGTGTGATTATATCTTGGTGGCAGCAAGACTAAATGCAGAAAAGATTTACTATTAGTAACGTATGTTCTAGATTTATATTACCCGTGTATGTGCATCTTGGCCTCTTTTCCCCCCTCTTTTCAAATTTCTAAGCAGGGATTTTAGCCAAAAAATATGCTGTCATATACTTCTATTATAGATAAATATTATAAGTAAATGCTTAAGACCATAATATACAATATTAATAAAGCTAAATGTTTCTTAAAACTATTTGCACATATACTGTACACAGGGTGTTAATTACCATGAATAACTTTATTTCTATTTTCATGGTAATTGAAAGCAATATATTGTACATTAAACCTTTGCTAAGAAGTGAGTGCTTTGCTCCACCCAAAGTATTGCAGACATAAAATAGAACATGAAAAAGTAGAAAAGCAAAATACAGTCTGGGAGTGGTGGCTCATGCCTGCAATCCCAGCACTGAGGAGGCTGAGGCAGGAGAATCATTGCTAGTTTGAGACTGCTCTGGGCTACAAAGTGAGTTCAAGGCCAGCCTGAACTGAATAGCAAGACCCTGACACAAAAAGACAAACCCCAAAACTTTCCTATTCTAATTTCTGGAGGTTTCTGTATGAACTGATGTAAATTTAAATTTAAAACTTCTTTAAGTCTTGAATGTCCATAGTTGTCAAGGCTGTAATGCACAGCTCTTTTGGCCTTTGGAGGGGACTGTAATTTGGCTGTGACCCTCTGTATAATTCTGATCTACATTTTCACTGCTATGATTTTGGACACTGCAACACTATCCAAAGGATAGTATTTAGAAGATAATAAATATGTAATGCTTTGTGTATGCTTGCTAAAATGAAGTATTGATGATGTGTCTGTTATACTTACCTATATTTATTATAGATAAATATTATAAGCAAATGCTTATAAAGCCCTAGATTTTAATCCCCAGAACTTTTTTTAAAAAGCTCTGAGAGCTTTATGTATTTTTCTCCTCCTGTCAGCACCCTCCACTTTCTTACTTGTAATGAGCCATTGAGCTTTATGATTGCAGTATTTACAAGAAACAAAAAAGCAAATACACACCATTATTGACCTGTTATTATTTACAAAATGTTATTGTTAGAAGAGTTTGTATAGCTCCAAAACAAATAGGTCTATAGAATATTTGAACATGACAGGCTTACCTAATGGATTTAATGTTTGGTATATTGATATCCAGGTAACCAGGTCTAATGTTTAATAGGCTAGTTTCTCCAGACCTTTAAGGAACATGAGAAAAGATAGAATGCTGTACTGCTCACACTTAGTTCCATTCCCAGATAAGCAAAAAACAAACCCAGCTGTGTGCCTAGTATAATTTTAGTATCAAGTCATATGGCAAGTACCGAAAAATAAAATCTGACCAAGATCACTGAAAAAATTACTGTATTTATTTAAAACTCAAATTATTTTTTTAAAAAACTCAATTATTAAGATAAATATGTAATAGCATTCATGAGTTAAAGAAATTCATTAATGAACTATTAGAAACCCTTCTCAGCAAAATCAGGAGAAAAATGTTCATTCAAACTTGCTTTATGGGGCTGGGGAAATAGCTCAGTGGTGTAAGTGCCTGCCTGGCAAATGCAAAGTCATGAATTCAATCCTGCTACCTCAAAAAAAAAAAAAAAAAAACCCAACTGACAAAAGACAAACTTGGATATGAAGCTGGGCATGGTACCACCTGTCTGTAATCCTAGCACTCAGGAGGCTAAGGCCAGAGGATTGATGCAAGTTTGAGCCCCACCTGGGCTACAGAGTGAGTTCTCAACTAGCCTGAACTGTATAGGAAAACCCTGTCTCAAGCCTGACATTCATAAGACCCTACATTAAATCTCCAACATCACACACAGGAGAACAAACAAAACATCTAGTAAAACAATAAAGTAAAAAGGCAGAAGGAATGCTGTATATGAAGTGTTAATAATTTTAGCAGCACTTGGGAGGCTGAGGCAGGAAAGTAACTGTGAGTTTGAGGCCAGTGGGCTCCATAAACTTTGAAAAGAACAGCTATTAGGACCAACATATGTAACCATTATTTAGCTTTAATTGACTTTTAGTAATTAGAAAAGCAAATATAATTTCTTTTTAAATTCCTAAACAGATATTCTGCCTCCATGGTGGCCTCTCTCCATCCATAGATACACTGGATCACATAAGAGCCCTGGATCGTTTACAAGAAGTTCCACATGAGGTAAACTTTGTTTAAAAAAGAAAAAACAGTGTAACTCATGTGAGGAAGTTCAACATCACTGTCACTGATACTTTATTGTCTTGATCAGGGTCCAATGTGCGATCTCTTATGGTCAGACCCAGATGATCGTGGTGGATGGGGTATTTCACCACGTGGTGCTGGCTACACATTTGGACAAGATATTTCTGAAACATTTAACCATGCCAACGGTCTCACACTGGTTTCTCGTGCCCACCAGCTAGTAATGGAGGTAGGTACCTTTCATGACGAATGTTCTTCATTTCAAATAGTATATATGTGTTTGTGATGTGGAATATAGGACACATTGCTTCTCATTACCAAGTGAAAGGAAGAAAATTTGTATCAGGGAAAGTATTAGCCAGAGCAAAATTGTAACTCATTTTTTAAATAAAAATTTATAAAAATAGTACCCTAGAATTCTCTTCTTTCAAAGTCTTGAATATAAATATCTTATTATATTTGCTTTATGACTTCCTGCCTCCAACTTTCTTCTGAATGTCATTTATAAACAAACACCTCCTTACCTTCAAATTTCCACTTGTATTTTGTTAATGGTGTTTTCTTATGTAGCCAGGAAATCTTCATTGGTATAATTTTACTATCTAAACACTTAGTCAAATAATGCTAATTAATGTCACTAATACTCTGTTAAGCAAAATTCCGTTTTTGCCTATACATAATCTTAGATTGAATTATATTCACTCTCCTTTAATAAATAGTCCTATTTTATTTTGTGCTTTTTTGTTTAAATTATTTTTAAATTTTTTTATTTTAATGAGAAAAAAGATAAAATAACAATAAAACAGTTTCAAAAACAGGTTAGTAGGACAGTTCCAGTAATTAATACATTGCATATTGTTTTCTTGTTTATTTTTTTAAAATTATTTACAAACCCATCTCACAGTAGGGGCTGGTGAGATGGCTCAGTGGTCTAAAGCACCTACTTAGAACAAGCTTAGCAAAGCACAGGGACCGCAGTTCAATCCCCCAGCACCACATGCCTGCCAGCCCCGCCCCCTGGTGGGCTGAGCTGGCCACACACACACACACACACACATATAAATAAATAAAATTTAAAAAAAAAAATTAAATGAATGTAACAGTAAAAATTGTCCAAAATAAAAATGAAGAAGAAAGAATTTACAAATCAGTCATATAGTTAGAATTCTCAAAGTGTAGAAAGGGGTAGGCAATAAATATTTAAAGATTTAAAATTTCTGAATATAGTTGAAATTATAGCACTACATTTCCAAGAAAAATGAACTGTTTGCACAAGAAATTTGAATAAAATTATATCAAGATACACAAAAATGAAATTGTCCAAAATTTGTTTTGTGCTATCTTGACATTTTGAAATAATATAAGCAATTTATTTTATAGAAATAGCCCTCAATTAAGATTTAATGGGTGTACTCCTGTAATCCCAGCACTCCAGAGGCTGAGACAGGGTTATTGTGAATTTGAGACCAGCCTAGGTTACAGAGTGAGCTCCAGGCCCATCTGAATTGCTGCATAGTGAGACCCTCTCTCAAAAAAGAAAAAAGATTTAACTGATGCTTTCCTTAATAGGATTCGGAGTATGCATTTTGGCAGGCATACCACAGAATGATATTATGTTCTCAGTGCATCTTATCAAGGGTTATGAAATCTGCATGTCCTAGTACAGGTGGATTAACTGATTACTGCCTTTCTCCCCTGTAATGTTACTGTTTTGTAACTACTCCAGATTTTTTTTTTTTTTCCCAGTACCAGGGATTGAACTCAGGACCTTGAGTTTGCCAGGCAAGCGCTTACTCTACTGAGCTATCTCCCTGATCTGTTTTGTAACTACTAAAGGAATGAAAATAGAGCATAATCCTTCCAAAACAGTAAGAAGTTACTTCATGTTAAAAAGAAAAATTTTACCAGCTCAATAGAAGCAAGAAAAAGGGGCATGATAGAGAAATAAGACAACACAAATTTATATGGTAAAAATAAATTGTATCAGTCATAAGAAATATAAATGGGGACTGGGAAGGTAGCTCAGCAGCAGTACCTGCTTGGTAAGTAGCATAAGGTTCTAAGTTCAGTCCCCAGAACAAAAGCAAAAAGAAAAGAGAAGAAATGTAAATAAATGGTAAATTTTTGTGTGTGTATGATTGACCCCCAAGTTGGATAAGTCAGAGTTCAACTATTATTTGGAACATATGTAGAACATAATGACACCACAAATTAGAGACAAACAATTGAATATAGTACTGGTGTAATAAGTTTATCCAAAATATAACCAATGTGAATCAGAATGAAACTCAAGGAGAAGGTACCATTACAAGCAAAATTTCATCATTGTTGATGAAAACTGGCCCCAGTCTTTAGGAAGAGAGTATTCTGAGTTTACTCATAATAGTTTGAAACTATATAAAGCAAAAGTTGACACAGTTTAAGAGGGAAAATTGAATTATTGTGGAAGAAATTTCGACATATACTTCAGCTATGATCTCAGAAGTTTAGCACAACTGCACAATAACAAGTTCTGTGTAACAAAGCCCTATGCCCAGTAGTTACAGCATTCTGTGCAGATGGATGCACTGTGAAAGATGGAGACCATATGATCTGTATATAAAACATATGTAAAATAACGTAATTTTATAATAAAAATGTGTTATTAATGCTGCAGGGATACAATTGGTGTCATGATTGGAATGTGGTTGCCATAGATGGCTATGTATCTGTAAGAGGTATTTGGCTTTTTATGGTCAAGATCCTAATTTTAATGGGAGAATGGAAAAAAGGAAAGGAAAAGAAAAAAACGTGTGTATATATATATAAATACTAATTACTGTTCATTGAAAAGAAAGGTTTTTGTGTGCTAATATTATTTAGACAATAAATGCCAATATCTTGTATTCTGAGTAACTGATTTAAAGATGACGGTATACAATGTCTTAACCATTGTTACCTTCTATTATCTTTTTTTGAAATTTTGAGGGGTTTTTTCCTCTAAAATAAAAAATATATAATTTTATAATAAAAAATGTTTTTATGCTTCAGGGATACAATTGGTGTCATGATCGGAATGTGGTTACCATATTTAGTGCACCCAATTACTGCTACCGTTGTGGAAACCAGGCTGCTATCATGGAATTGGATGATACCTTAAAATATTCTTTGTAAGTAACTAAGTTGTAATTGTATATAATCAATTTCCCATACAGTTTCTAAAATTTTAGTTTATTAGTACACATGTATAATGTTTATATTCCCTGTGTGGAATTGGTACATGTACAGAACACATCACAAGTCCTTATTTTCATCTCTTATCCTTCCCTTCCTCCCTCATTCCCTTTGTTCCTTCCCTCCTCCCCTCCTAAGCTCTTGATCCCCTTCCCCTCCCCCTCTGAGAACAATCCATCTCGCTACTTCCTATTATCTGTCTTTTACTTTGGTGTTTATTTTTACTTTGCATTTTTCATATAAGAGGGCCAATGTGATATTTAAGCTTGTGCATCTGATTTGTTTCACTTAATATTAAGGTCTGAAGATGCACATATTTTCTTACAAGTAACTCACATCAATCTTTTATAGCAGAATAATACTATTATAGCAGAATAGTACTATGGGGTATAAATAACATTTCTTTCAATTCATCTTTTGATGGTCACTTCTGATATTGAGGTATTGTGAATTGTTTTGCTGTAAACATAGGTATGCATGTCTCTCTTAATGTGATGTCTATAAATCTTTGGGGAAGATACCTAGAAGGGGAGTATAGCTGGGTCAAAGAGAATTTCTAGTTGTAGGCTTCCATATTGATTTCCTCAGTTAGTGGTTGTTATCAGTTTAACCCCCAACAGTGGAGAAAGATTCCTTTTCTCCCCATAACCTCTCCAGCATTTATTATTTGATTTCCTGATGACGGTCATTCTTTCTGGAGCATGGTAGAATCTGTTGTTTTGTAATGGTCAGCAAAGTTGAGCATTTTCATGTATTTGTACTTCATCTGAGAACTGTCTATTCATTTTGTTTGCCCATTTTTTGATTGGATCTTTTATTTGGAGGATCTCTTTTTTGTAATTCTCTCTGTATACTAAATATGAGTCCTCTGAGGAATCACTGGCAAAATTTTTTTTGTGTTCTGTAGACTCTGTTCGTTTGTTGTGCAGAAGCTTTTTCATTGAATATGATCTCATTTTTTGATTCTCAGAAATATTTCCTGTACAAATAAGGTTCTTTCAGAAAGTCCTTGTATATGCCTAAGACTGCAAGAATTATAGAAGTGCTTATTTGGTAATCATAAATTTCTTTAGGTGCTCTTTATCGTGAAAATATTTTTTCATCATTTTGAAAGAGATTTTTCAGAATATATCAGCTTGAGTTGGAAATTATTGAGTGACTTGCTGCTTTTCTCTGACTGCTTCTTTTTTTTTTTTTTTTTTGTATTTTAGGGAAGCATCTACAGGGTGTTCAGGTGGACTCTTAGTGATCCGCCTGTTTACAGCCTCCCAAGAGCTGGGATTAAAGGTGTGCCCCACCAACCTTAGTCTCAATTGCCTGTCTCAGTGGGCCCCCGGGGGCAGGGCCAAGGGCTTGAATTCCTGAAGAGGTTCTTTTGTAATCATGACTGTTTGAGAGTCTGTAGCCCTACTTAATCTGTATGTTAAATTTTTCTTACCTTATTTAGAAAGTTTTCATTTCAGTAAGCAGGTTTTTTGTTTTGTTTTTTGTATGTATTTAGTACAGTGTTTCACTACACAGATAGGACTTGTAGGGATCCTTCTGTTTTCAGCCTCCCAAGCACTGGGATTATAGGTGTGCGCCACCACGCCCAATCTCAGTCACCATCTCAGGCGACCTGTGGGTGGGTCCTGTGGGTAGAGCTGGCATGGCACACTGGGGATCAAACCCTGTCCCTGTGTCTGCCTAAGTAGGCGCTGTAATCTGCTGAGCTAGCTGGCTGGCCCTAGCAAGCAGGTTTTTTGTTTGATTGGGTTTTTTGTTTTTATTTTTTTTAAGACATGATCTCATTATGTAGTATAGGCTCACCTTGAACTTACAATAATTCCTCACCCAAGTGCTGGAATTACAAGTGTGCCGTATGCCCAGTGAGTAAACAGTTTTTTATTGTCTTTGTGCTGTTTTTCCTCACTAATTCCTGTTAATCTTTTCATTATCTAGTTGTTGAATCATTTTTCCTTGTTTTAAAGATGTCTCTTATTAAGTAGTTCCTGACAACAGCACTTTCAGATCTGACTCACATTGATCGCTTCTGGGCTGGGGAGATGGCTCAGTAGACTAAACACTTGATTGGCAAGTGCAAGGGCCTGAGTTCAATCCCCAGTTCCACAAAAAAAAAAAAAAGCATTGATCACTTCTGCTGCCATACTTTCAATAGATTTTTTTTTTTTTAATCTCCTGATTTTTCGATTTGGAGCCTTTCAAAGGACTATAGCCCTTTGCTTATCATGCATGTTCTATATTGTTTTGTCTAGCTCTTTTTTTGTTGTTGTTAATGTGTTCTTTAGACTTGCTGATTTTAGTTGGCCCAACATTTTGTAACTTAATATCTTCTGTGATCTTACCAATTTCCTTACTAACCTGAGGCTTTTAGTTTCCTTTCCTCAGATGCCCTATAAATTAGTTAATGTCTACTCTTCAGGGGTGGTCTCTGGGTATGACTGACTGCTGACCTTTGCCTTTGTCCCAGGATCCAACCACCTATGTTGACTTGAGATATGTTGATTCTCCCATAATGGACCACAGTATTGTTAATGACCCATGGGCAATCTAGATATTGCTATCTCAAGAAAATCAGTTAATTGTAGCAGCTGTAAAACTTTTGCTATTATAATAAAATTATAGCATGAAACACATGCTGATTATTTGTAAAGTACCACTCTTGTCCCTAGAAAAGAGATCTGTAATTATAGTGTGAACACTATAACAAACCATATATTGACCTGCTGCTGACCTACAGAAAATATTTAGTAAATGGACACTTTACCTCTGTCAGCACAGTATTCAACAGGAGTAGCATAAAGTTAACTATCTGGAGATTCATAAAGTTTAGTATGCAAAATTTACTATGTTGGTAAAGGTGGAGGGGTGGGGACCTGGAGAATGAGGGGAACGAAATTTGCAAAATTAACTGATGGGATATGAGGAGAGAAAAGGAAGACAGTCCTAGTAAAGGGTGAAAGCAAATGAATAGTGATAGAGAACTTACTGGAAAGCATGAACAAGGAAAAGAAAAAAAGATAAACAGCAAAAATAAAGAGAAAAATTGTAAGAGAAAGTGATAAAAAGGAAAAAAAACTAAAAGAAGAATAAAAAGATTAGGCCAAGGAAAAAATTCTGGGTTCTGAATGAGTGGTTGCTTTCTATGATCTGTGGTCTTGAGAACCAGCCAGTCAGAATTTTCTGTGCCTGGCTTTAGGGCCTGTGCATCCTAGGAGTGCACTAGATTTCCTCTATTCATGCCCCTCAAACTGTGTGACTGTTCAAGCCAAGGCAAGTCCTTGTTCCCATTGGTCAATAGCTCTCTGTTCTTGGCTGGGTGTAGGCTGGGTGAGGATTCATGTGGGCTCTTGGACTTAATTTTGACAGTTGTGAGAGCTGGGTGCTCCTTCTCTCCCTGGATGTCCTCTTTGTGCAGGTCAGATCCCCAGTCTTTGCCTCTGCTGTGCCAGGCTGTGCTGCCCTGGAGCCTGAAACACCATTCTCTCGTCCAGGGCCAGCTGGGGGTGGGACTGCCCCCCCTCCAAGGGTATCCACCAGGTCTGCGTTCCTAATAAGAGTTTTAGGAGAGAAGTTTTCAGCTGCTGGGTTGTGAAAGAAGTGTGGCATACTCTATCCACAACAAAAATAACCATTTACCTGGGAAAAAGATTTTTTAAAGGGTTTGGAGGAATGTCTCAGGGACTTGTAACAAATGAAGAGATAATTATTCACTAAAAACCTTCTGAATTTCAGTGATAACATTTGGAGGCTATTGCCTGAGGTACTTACCCTTACTGCTGTGTCCATCTTACAGAAACTGTTCCAGCTACTCTGTCCTGGCCAGGTGTGGTTAGGAAGCATGGGGTTTCCACAGTTCCCAGTCTAGGCCATACTTTTTATCCCAGAGATGAAACACATCCCAGTTGCCCTGGTCCTGGGTTACAAGAAGCTGTACTCTTGCTAGGTGATTAAGTGACCAAGGAACGCCTTCTTACCTCAGCCTCTAGGGTGGATGCTGTCCCCTAAAAATTCAGGACAGGGTGATAACGCTGAGTTCCCAGGTGCTCTTGCCATAGCATATTCTGTGGATTAGATGTCTCAGAAGTAGGCTATGCCTATCCCAAGCAGTGGCACAGAAGTTCTGCTCAAAGAGTAGAGAGAGAGACTAGAAAAGTTCCTCAGCTCTGACTTACTTAGAATAGAGAGTAGAGATTTCTTAGTCTGAGTACTTCATTGAAAACAGTGGCTATCATGGTGGAGACCAGTTATGAGTGTTCTCATGGTTCCCATGATACTTGTAGTGACAAGCAAAAGTATGGAGCAACAAGAAGTTAACAAATGAAACCAGGGAAAGAGTCAGCCAAGATAAGCCTCTTGGGGTCACAGTGAACACTGGGTAGCAAGCAGCTGTGTGCACGTACTAGCTGTACTTACTCAGGTGCAGACTCAAAACCTTAATGTGGTGTTACTTTGAGTTTCTGATTTGTTTCTTGGTACTGGGAATTGAACTCAGAACCTTGTGCTTGCCAGGCATGCACTATGCCACTGAGCTATCTCCCCAACTCCCTTGGTGGTGAGAATAGATTTTTGCACATTTAATCAAGATGAGGTCGCACTGCATTAGGGTTGGCCTTAAATTTTTTTTTTAATTTTTTTTTTAACGTTTATTTATTGGGGGGGGCAGCTTAGCCCACCAGGGGGCGGGGCTGGCTGGCATGTGGTGCTGGGGGATCGAACCGCGGTCCCTATGCTTTGCCAAGCTTGTTCCAAGTAGGTGCTTTAGACCACTGAGCCATCTCTCCAACCCCAAATTTTGTATGACTAGTATCCTCACCAGAAAAAAAGGTAGCATAGATGTATGAGAGAGACATCTCATAAATAAAAACACTAAGCAGCATTCATAAGTGAAATTTCTCCTAGAGTGGTGTGTCTACAAACCAAGACTGTTTGATCTACCAAAAAAGCCAGGAAGAATCAAGAATTTTTCCCTAGGGCCTACAAAGACATCAAGACCAAGCTAACACCTTTCAGACTCATAGCTAACCCTAACGGAATTTTTTTTTTTCTTTTTTGCCAGACTCTGGAGTAGACCTGTTTCCTGCATAGCTTAGTGAAGTGCTGAGGGGTTAGGCCCACCCTTAGTAATTTGCCTAGGATCATCCCAGCCTAAGATAATAGAGTAAATAAAGTAGCATTGGGAAGCCTAAAACCACTGTTTCTATTCAGTGTCTTTTTTTAATTATTTGTTTACTTCTGAAGTCAAATATTTTAATGAGTTCCTTCCATTTGCCATTTACAGTCTTCAGTTTGACCCAGCACCTCGTCGTGGAGAGCCTCATGTTACTCGACGCACCCCAGACTACTTCCTGTAAATTCCTCCTGGGAAAAACTGCCTTTGTATGTGAAAGTATACCTGGCTTTTTAAAATATATTTAAAAATTTAAAGACGCGACAGTAATCTTATGTTTCTATAACAAATTGTGATGTCTTGGCATTAAACCACATCATGGACCAAAATGTGCCATACTAATGATGAGCATTTAGCACAATTTGAGACTGAAATTTAGCACAGTATGTTCTTCTAGATTGGTCAACCTAACAGTTTGCCTGCTGTATTTGTAGTAACTATTTTCCTCTGGACTATTCCAGCAAAAAGGTAACTAACTACTTTATCTCCTTTTGTGCTTATTTGGAAATTTTAGTTATAGTGTTTAACAAGCATGGATTAATACAGTTGGAATTTTATTTTTAAGAAAAATTCACAAGTTGAATTCCATTTAATCCATTACCCTTTATGTTATTGAAATGTTTAATTAACTGAAGAAAAGATCCTTCCTGGGAGTATGTTGTCATAACATTAAAGAAATGGCCCTTCATTTCCATTACTGTTTTGTTGAGCTACATGTTTCTGTATATTTGTCATGACAGTGCTTGCATCCTATTTGGTGTACTGAGCAAATAAACTTTTCATTTTAAACCAAAATGTTGATTTAACTGTGATGTGCATAAAATGGGAACTTCATTATTTTAAACTTTGTATAAAATCTCAACACAGATGAGCATGGTAGCACACATGTGTAGCCTCAGCATTCTGGAGGCTGAATCAGGAGAGTCACCATGAGTTTGAGGACAGCCTCAGCTATGTAGTGAGTTCAAGAATAGTCTGTACTACATGTGAGACCTTGTCTCAAAAGCAAAACAAAATATCCCTTATAACATATAGAAAGTGATTTAAATATAATGCTCTTAGGCTGGAGATGTAGCTGATCAGTGGAGCACTTGCCTAGCACACGGGTGAGGCCCTGGGTTCAACACCAAGCACAGCCCCTAAAAATGTAATTTTTTTCCTGATACCTACCATTGAACTCCGAGGCATTCTGCCACTGATCTACACCCTAGCCCTAAGCCTTTTTTTTTTTTTTTTCCTGAAATAGGATCTTGCTAAGTTGACTGGGCTTATCTTGAACTTGCCATCCAAGTTCATTTTCAGAGGGGAAAGGAATCCAAATATTAGGTGATAATTGTTAGACCATTAAAAGGCCATTTTTGTTTTTAGACATTTCATTAGGTGATTTGTGTTAATTTATGATTTTAAGCATAAAATATAGTTTGTCATAAATCACTTAGATTTATGGAACTAGAAAGGAAAATATTTTTTTAGTTAATACATGTTTGCAGTACATACTGATTACATTCATTATGGAGAAATGGTACATGTATATAACACATTGAGAAGAATTTTAAAGCTAAATAGTATCTCTTTTATCTAGGTGTGGTGGTGCTCACCTATAATCCCAGCACTCAGAACGCTGAGCAGGAAGGTCACTGCAAGTTCCAGCCCAACTCGGGGTACATAGCAAATTGAAGGCCAGTCTGAATTAGATAGACCCTAGCTGAATCAGTCAATAAAGTCTACTTTTGATTTAGAAACAAAAATAGATCTCTGAGAGGTTAGTAAGAGTAGTAGTGAAAGTATTATTCAAATGTATAAATTTCATGTTTTAAGAGTAGACTAGCCGTGATGGCACATAACCTGTAACTTCAGCATTTGGGAGGCTGAGGCAAGAGGATCTCTAGTTTAAGGCCAGCCTGGGCTACAAAGTGAGCTCAAGGCCAGGCTAAACTACATAATGAAACCAAGTCTCAAGAAAGTGTAGATTAATTGTGCAGGGTGACAGACCAGAGAGATAGTTCACCAGCATAGCGCAAGGCCCTAAGTTCCCAGTACAAAAAAAAAAGGTGTTGAGGGTAGAAGTGGAAAATATAAAGGGAAAAAAGAAATTTTTTAAAGAGAATATTAGAAATAATATAAATGCTATATTTCTTACAGATGAGTTCTGTTCTGAGAAGATGTTTTGTAGGTCAAATTCATTTCTAATTCCACCATAGTCTTACAGATTTTTGACCCGAATATTGCCTTGGGTTTCCTAGCAGTCCTCTTCACATCACCACTGCTTTTTTTTTCTTGCTTCTGGATATCTTCACCTCTGACTAAGCACCGTGTTCATGTATACCATTCCACTGGACAGTGAGCACACAGCAGCACAACCCTTGACTGTTCAGACATGTGAACTACTTCACAGTTTGTTCACATCTACAAGTGTTTGTAATGCAAAGTGCTCTGAAAGTTTGCACCTTGAATATTCCTAAATCAGCTTGCTGTATGTCAAAATCAGAATCAGAGGGCTGGCCAAATAGCTCAACAGATTAAAGCACTTGCAGGCAGGTACAGGGGCTGGACCTTTAATACCTGGGCCTGCAACAAATGAGACTGGGCATTGTGGCACACACCTGTAATCCCAGCTGTTGGACAGCTGTAAACAGGTGGATCACTACGAGTCTGATCTAGTAGTGAGACCCTGAACACCCTGTAGACCTTCCCTAAAATACAAAAAAAAAATCGGAATCAGTATAAATGGACTAATTTTTCTTGTTAAAAGACAGATATACACTTGACAGGTACCAAAAGCAAAGGGTTTATTGGGTATTAAAAGACCAAAAAGATACTAAGCAGCAAAAGAAATCTCCAGGGGCTGGTGAGATGGCTAAAGTGGTCTAAAGTACCTACTTAGAACAAGCTTAGCAAATCAGAGGGACCACGGTTCAATCCCCCAGCACCACAAGCCAGCCAGCCCCACCCCCTGGTGGGCTGAGCTGACCACACACACACACACACACATATAAATTTAAAAAAAAAAATCTCCATATATGTAATATTAAGTACACTGGAAAAAATTTAAGGAGAGTATCAATACATGTAAAACTGAGTTAACTCATTTCTAAACCCATATGTACCTACCAAAATATAGTGTTTGCTATAGTTTTGATACATACCCCCATATTCATGTATTGGGAGCAAGTCCCAGATTAGCTGTTGAGTGGTAGAACTTTTAGGAGGTGAGATGTGGAAGTTGCCCTGATGCATAGGTTGTACCGTTGTTTCAGAAGAGGTTTGTTTTCATGTTTATGAGTAGTCTTGCTTTTTCAAGCTCTCTTCCTCTTCAGCCTTCAGAGATGATGCAGACAGCAGGCCTCACCAGATGCCTGTCACAGTTTCTTGGGTTTTTCTGACCTCCAGAACTGTGGAAGATAGGTTTTTTATGAGTTACCTTGGCTCTGGTACTCTGTTATAGTAACAGCACAGACAAAACTATTCCTGAAAGTGGGGTTTCTGTAACACTTAATGATGTGAAAATGCTTTTGAACTGGGTAACAGGCTAGACATGTCTTGAGCCTAGAAAAGGCTCAAGAAAATCAGCATTAAGCTGTAATCTGATAAGAGCTCAGAAGAACTGTAGGGAAACCTAGAATTTAGAGATTACTTGAGTGGCAATGTTAGGAAAAATAAAGCCAATAAAGGTCATGTGGATGAGTTCAGATGGAAACGAACAAGGTATTGGAAACTAAAGGAAAGGCTGTCTTTATTACAAAAGGCTAAGTTGTCTTAATGCTTATGGGTTTTATATAAGAGAAAAATTAAGAGCAGTAAACCCTGTGTGCAGGCCAGCACTACCACCCACTGAGTTGTACACCCCGTCGCATTCTTCAGTCTTTGACTTCTTACATGGTTCATACGGCTTTGGCTAGGATGACTGGTGTTTCCTATTAGTTTGGGGGTAATGGTGGAGATACTTATCCCTTACTGCTGTGTGTCAGTCACATTACTAGGACACAGTACTCACACTGTAACTTAGAAGAGGCTTACTAGACTCAGTTTCCAGCATGTTCAGTCTAAAATTGCCAGCTGCAAGGCAGAAACAGCATGGTGTGAGGACCTGGCATACAGCAGCTGCAGGGAGGAGAGGAGCTGCGGACAGGCATGCTCTCCAAGCTGGGTGTGGTACATACCTGAAATCCCAGCACTTGGCGCTGGGGTGTGCTCAGTGGCACAAATGCCTGCCTGTCAAGCACATGGTTCTGAGTTTGAGTCCCAGTACCAAAAAAGGAATTCCAGAACTCGGGAGGCTCAGGCAGGATTGCCAAGAGTTCAAGGCCAGCCTGAATTACATAGCAAGACCCTCCCTCAAAAAACAAAGTACTACTTAGAATATTCCCTCAGTACCTCACCTCCAAACAGCACATTTATTTACCTACTGAACTCGATGATACACTGATAGAGCACGACCTATGATCCAGTCACCTTACATACGCAAGAGACTTCTTTTTTGTCTCTTTTGAGACAGGATGTCACTATGCAGTTCAGCCTGGCCTTGAGCTCACTTTGTATTCCAGGCCAGTCGCAAATTCACAAGATCCTCCTGCCTCAGCCTCCCTAGTTCTGGGATTACTGCATGCCACCATGCCTGGCCATAAAGTTAAATTTTTTAAATTGAGCTATGTGCTTCCCGTAGGAAACAGTATAGATCTAAAAATGTCCACCAAAAGTCTCCAGTGAGCAGGGCCTGGTGGTATACCCCTATAATCCCAGCATTTTGGAGGCTGAGGCAGGAGGATCTTGTGAGTTTGAGACCATCCTGGAATACAAAGTGAGCTCAAGGTCAGCCTGAACTGCATAATGAGATTCTGTCTCAAAAAGACAAAAATAATAATTTTGTTTGTGTTTTGGTAGATCTCTGTGTTGGCCAGGTTGGTCTGGTCTTAAAACACCTGGAAGTCAAGTGAGCTTCCTTGCTTTGGCCTCCCAAGTAGTTAAACTGTAGGTGCATACCACTGCACCTGACCTAACAGTCTTTGCTTTTATCTCAGGATATGTAGATTATTTATATTACTGTGATTATTGGTATAGTTAGATTTTAATGTGTCATTTTTATGTCTTATATCCATTTCTGTTTTTCTGAAATTTGGGTTAATTCAATCGTTTTTATTCTGTTTATCTCATGGCAGGTTAGGTATAACTTTTTTCAAAATGTATTTTAGTACAGGGTCTGCAGAGTCTCACTATGTAGATTGGACTCATAGTGATCCTCCTGTTTTCAGCCTCCCAAGTGCTGGGATTACAGGCATGCGCCACCACGCCCAATCTCAATCACTGTCTCAGCAAGCCCCAGGATCGGGGCCAGCATGGCAGGCCAGGGATTGAGCCCCCGTCCCTGTGCCTGTCTAAGCAAGCAGGTGCTTTAGTCCACTGAGCTATTTGGCCGGCCCTAGGTATAACTTTGTTACTTTAGTAGTTCTTTAGAATTTATGATTCACATTTTTAACAACATAGTGATATTATATACCTTTCCACATATGGCATAAGATCCTTACAATGGTATACTTCCCAACTTCATGCTTTTGTAGTCATATGTTTTTGTTGTACATGTATTATAAGCTTCATGGAATATTACTTTTGTTCACACAGATTTATCTTTTCATGAGCGTGTACTGTGGAGACCTGCACCCAAGGCCTCAAGCTTATTAGGGAAGTGCTCTACCACTGAGCTACGTCCTTCAGCCCCGAAAGATTATCTTTAAAGTAACTTAAGCTTTTCATGTATTTGTGTAAAATATATCCTATTTGCAGTATTCTTTGTATAAATA